TCTCATTCCATCATTTCTTTGTTCATTTACATCAGAGTAATGATATATTTGACTGATATTTCCTTTCTCTTGTCTTTCCATCTCTGAGCTTCATCTGTTCGCTATCATTGTTTGTGGAATAGTTTTCTTGTAAGAACGCATTGAACAAATCAAAATCTTTGGTCGATCATTTCCTTTCTTCAGTTTAATATTTACTGAAACAATTTGTCTTTGGTTATTTTTAGAGAAAAAACATCTTCATTTCCTGGTTCATTTAATACTAGAAATGATCATCAACAATAATACTCAATCAGGTTTGTTTTAGTTAATTACCATCGATTGTTATTCTAATGTGATATCTTTTTCTAGATGTTGAACAACATGCAGAAGATGAATTTCTTCAATTTTCTTGCATCAAGTTGGTAGTGTTGATCAATATCACACAAGATGATGCATTCTGTTTTCACTGCATACAAACTCATTTAGGACATGACGAATTGAAAGCTTTCATTCAAAACAAACATATCGATACAGAGATGCAAGAAAATCTCAAATCAGTTCGTACACTATTCAACATTTTATCGATAACAACATCATTTCTTACATTCATCGTATTTGATGGACACAAGTTAATCTTTTTTATTTCTCTCTGCTCGTCTATGTTTATCTTTCTTTCTATATACTTGAACAATATTTTGCATATCGTTATATTCGAAACATCTGTCGTTTTATTGTCATTCGTTACATTCCTAAAACTATCCTATGCTATTTTATATGCAATCATCCTCAATCAGAAAAGGAAATCGGATTGATTTTTATATCTTATGATTCTCTTTCATTGATATGAAGTAACTTCCTTTTTTCTTCGATAAAACTTTTAGATTTATTTCAAATTCTGATTTGGATAATATTCAAAATTGTCATGTCGTCTTATTCCGATGCCAATCATCATCAATCAATAATTGCTCGTAAGATTATGTTCAAATTCTTTCTAAGAAAGTTTCCTGAGTGTCTTTTAGAAAATGAAATCCGAATGATTTTTGTTCAAACATTGGTTAGTTTATATCTTAATTCAATTGTTAAAATAAATATACTTATTTTTTTAGAATCCTAAACCACAAGATTTTCTTGTGAATCAAAACCGGCGAAGAGTAATTTGTTTGATTTGGATTCTATTGATTATTTATTTCAAAATCTTCATTGAATCGTGGAAAATGATCAATGATGTTTCTTCGAAAGATGAATATTTGCATCAACAATGGCTTTTTGAACAAGAGAAAATTGTTAATCAAAAGAGAGATTTACAAGAATTTTTAAATGATTTACAATCGTCTTCAAGTCAAAGTGAAAAACCGTGTAAAAATTGTTTTAAGACGATTTTAAGATGGTATTCCAAAGAAATCTTAAACATCTATGAAAAAAATCGACATGTTAAAGAAGAATATAATCAAATCGTACTTCCATTACAATATCTTTCATCTTTTGTTTGTTTGATAAACAACTTCTTAATTCTCATTATCTTTAAAAAATCTCACAGATTTTATCTTCTTTCGAATATTCTTCTCATTATTTGTCTTTGTATTTATGCGGAATTCTTTCTTCCAAATGAACCGAGTGTCTCCTATACTTTATTCATCACTTGGTCAATTATTATCTTTACAATTTATCTCTTAATGAAAGTCTTTTCAACATTATTCATCATCGAACATTATCAATTAATAGATTTTCTTCAAAATAAGGAACAATGACCAAATTATTTCATAGTTTTTTTTGTTATTTTCAACAAAAACATGTCTAACGCTGCTTTTTTCATGCATTTCCTCAATGATATTATATCATTGATATGAAATAAATGGACACCCACTTAAACAAGTTTTATCCAATCTTTTACACAAACCTCTTGTTGTTTAACATTCTTCTTTTTTCCTGATTCATATTGTTCAATCAATTGAATAGTCAATTTTTGCTTTAAATTATCTAGTTTTAATAACCACTGTTGTCCATCACGAGCAGATAATGTTGTTGTTTGCTGATTAATAATCATTTTGACCCATGAAACAAATCGAAATGCATATAATGATGAACTTTTTTTTTTCATATCATACATAGGAATAAATGCATTTTGTTCAACATATAATGGAATACGATAAGGACTACTTGTATCTTCTAGAGTAAATGTCTCCGATTGATATGTAATTGATGTATTTAAGTAATTTATTCATTTATTTGTTGAACTTTTTGGTGACCATACACGTTGAATTCGTCCAGGAGATGGATCGTGTGTTACAGGCACAACATAGATATTTGGACCTGGAAAATAAGATTGAGAAAATCCTGCTTGAGTATCATCACACGGTTTCATTATCGAAATTCCATGGACAATGTTCTCCCATACCACCATCTTCCATAAATGAACTTAATGCACCATAATAGCTGTCCTACGAAGAAAAACTTCTTTTGTACGATCGAATGGACCACGATCATGATCAAAACGATAACCACCAATATCAGAACCAAAAACAACATAACCTATACGCCCACTTTCAAGCATATAACGAAGTGCTGTTCGTAAACTATCATATGTCACATTTTCATCACCTGTCCAACCAATCAAAACAACATTTCGTGAAGAAAATTCTTCATCATGATCAACTGGTCGTGACATAATTATAATGCTTCTGAACCAACTAATTGACGTAAAATTTCAAATGTTTCATTATAATAAGCAGTACGATATAGTTTCCATGTTCTTGTGCATAGGAATAGTTAGGTGAATCAATATTAATAAATGGAGTCATCCATAGAATAATATGAGTATTTCTTGATCGAAATTTATCAAACATTTGAAGAATTGATGGAGATTTTTTTGAATTAAATATAAATGTATTAAAATTTGTTGCCCACTTTGAATCAGTACTTTTTATTCATTCGTTCGATATTTGATCGACATACCGATTTATCATTTTATGGATGGTTACCAACTTATTTTTGTTTTAATCGAAGTTATTGTAACAATTTTTCATTGGATAATTTGATCTTAATTAATAATTTCACATGTTTTCAAAGTCGACATTTATCAAGAGAACAAGATCATCGTGTCATTTTCCTCGTGCGTTAGATCTCGAAGAAATGAATCCTCAAATCAAATTGAAATGTCATTTCGACAGTCTTTTAGAATGTCGCTTCGCAGTTCGAACTGGAGTCGGCGAGTTTTAACAAGTGAAAATGATTATCTGAGCAAATCTGATACATATGGAACATCTTTTCACGTTCTTCTGACATATTAAGTGCGAAGATGTATCGTGATCTCTATCGTCGTTCGATCTATTATTCAACAATGAAACCGATGAAACTCATTGTGAACAATGACTTCAATCTCAATATCGATTATGCGATGGAAATCGTGATTTGAAAAACGGTGAAGATGAACTAAATTGTTCATCAACATTAGAAGTTGACATTCGACAAACCATTCTGAAATGTCATCTTAATGAACATTTTTTGTGTATTGAAAAATGGAACTGTTGGTTGTTTAGTTAGAATTTATACTGGAGATGATTTTTGTCAAAGTTTAGGACGTACTGATGAAAGAAAACGTCAAAGAAAATTGGATAGCAAGTATCAATTTCGATGTCATAATGGAAAAAGATTTCACCAGAGGCTCTATGTGATCAACGTAGTGATTATGCCGAGAATGAAGATGAATTAGTTTGTCTATGATCAATAGATGAAATAAGCGATTGGGATTCTGTTCGATGGTTGAATTGAAGTGCTGTTGCTTCAAAGGTGCAAAATTTTCCAAAAAATGAAAAATCCCCCCTCCCGCGGGGGACGCACGATGAAGATTCTGCACCTCTGTATCTAGAAGAAGATTGTCTTGTCCCATTACAATATAATCTTGAATGGTAATTCTTTGAAGAATATTCATATGTTATTCGTTTGTTATTGTAAATATTCAATACTTTTCCACCATCCCAGCGTGATTTTTCGAAATGCTTGCATATACGAGCAAAACCATGGCAGTTGATCTAAGCAGATCAATTTCACGCGAAGTCATGTTAATTATGCTATTGAATTGATTCAGTATACTTCAATTTTACCTCCTAGTGCATACCGCTAATAAGCTTTTTAGCCTTCTATCAATAAGTTGAAGTGAAGAACGGACGGTTACGGTTCGTTGTCATTGGCCTATTCAACGTGTGATCGGTCAGACAGAGAGAGAATATGTTTTTCGTCCGACATCTGAACTCACTCGTCTATTTCGAATTGATATTCATTTTCCATGATGTATTTCGAAGATTTATCAAATGAAATTATTCTTTGTATATGGGACGAGCTGTCATCTGCTGATGTTATATACAGTTTCTCTCATCTTAATCATCGCACTGATTCATTATTAATTGAATTTCATGGACTTTACAAACGACTTGAATTAGATTATTGTTCTTTATCAGCTTGTCGATTGCTATGTAAACAGATTCCAAATTCGGTCCAATGGCGTCTCGGTCTTACAGTACTGAAATTGGGTAGTCTTCATCGATGTTCTCAAGTCAACATGTTCGTAGATGAAGTATTCAAATTCATTGTCTCAAATCATTTTGCACGGAACCAAAAAACCGATGCTGTTGATTGTTCAAACGATGTTTTCCATTTATTGATAACATATAATAATCAAATAAGACAACCAATATTTCCTCAATTAACGTCGTTGTTTATTTTTCAATGTAGACCAATCAGTGATGACTATCGAGATGTACTACTATTTTCTGTAGCTGGTGGATCTTGTATGCGTACATTCACTTGGATTGCTTGCCCGAAACAAACACAGCATGACAAAGCTTTCTTCGATTGGTTATTTCGATATTCTCGTCGTCTAGAGAAATTTGTATTGGAAATGGCTCGACATCAAGATGGTTTTGAACTTACTTATGAACATGCACTTATGAGCAAATACGATTCTCATTATTCTCTCGTACATCTCAATATTAAAGTTCTCAATTTGAATACATTACATATACTTCTTCATTATCTTCCTCAGCTTGAACGTTTAGGTAACAACATCAAATGAATCTTTTTTCCAAGATCAATCGTATCATTATAAATATATTCGTAGATGTGTATATAACCAATACTTTCTATTCAAGTCCCACTATAGATCAAAATCTACCAAGAAACTTGAATTATTCAAACAAACTTCGTATTTTTAATTTACGGTAAAAGATTTCGTTCATGTAATGCTTTTCGATTGATACATATTTTGTTTTAAAGGTATATTGAAATAACTGGCTTAGACTGTAGTTGTATCGAACAGTTGATATATAAATTTCATAATACGTTAGAAGATTTGTCAATGTTTCTAATACATAATTGTAATGGCGTGATTGACAAATGTTTCGATGGTCATCGTCTTGCTAATCTTTGTCAAAAATTGCCTTGTTTACAATCGTTTTCTTTTGCATGTCGATTACAAGTCTTAGAGCGACCTAGTAATGAAATACTTGATGGTTTCATTGGGGCTTTTCGTGAATCATATTGGATCGATGGTCCTTTGGGTCTTATACGAGTGTGTGTCAATTACCATCAAGTATTGCGAGTTGTACAAATCTATTCTCTTCCGTATAAATTTTCGGAGAATATTGTCTACTGTACCATTGATTTCATGGATGTCAAATTCAATGTCAACGAACAAGAAAATACAATCATACGAAGAAACATGCCTATGCCACTCGAATTACTGTGGCATCGAATGAGATGGCTCTGTGCATCTTTCATTGGAAAACAAAAAATACCTGTTGCATTTTTTGAGGCACTTCAGTATCTACGTGGCCGTAGTAAGTTGATTAGATTTACTTCACCGAATTCGATTTATTATTTTAGACAAAGTGTTGATTTTATCAAGTGAGAGAGGAATATTACCGGATAATATTGAAAATCATTTACAACTTACACACTTTTCGACGTTGCAATTAAGAAATTCGTTTGATGTCAATAGTAATGATGATTTTCAAGGTATATGTCATATTTAGTCACATCTTGAATTGAGACAATTTTGATTTTCTATTAAAGAATCTATTCGTTGGCTTCGTCTCTTACCATATGCAAAATGTTTATATATTAATTCAATTGAATTGAAATACTGGTTGACTGAACGATATCATTGTCAATATGTTGATGCGTTCTTACGAAATCTTGATCAATTACATATAGATTGTTCAGATATTACTAACGTAATGTTAAATGAAGCACTGATGATACCTCTACTTACGTCTCTAATTAAAAGATATGATTTTCCTGAATTAAAATGTTTATGCTTTTTCACGTGTAAACATATTTCATCGTCATGGATTAATATCAGCAAATGGATTGATTTTATCTTAACTCATTTTGATCAACACAAACTCAAATACGTTCGCTTTAGTTTCAGAGAAAAAGAAAATGAAATCATCGACATGAAGACCACCGATGAAATCATCACTAGTACAGAATCTGCATGCATTATTGATATCCATCGATTTGTATCAGAGAATCAAATTTCATTTTGGATGGAAAGAAAATAAAAGAAAACAAAAATTATTTCTTTTAAATGTTGAGGTTATCATTGTTTCAGACAGAACGCTGTTAGTAATAATATGTAGGTTTTGTTTTGAGAAGAAATCGGATACGAATGTGGGAGAAATCAGTTTGTGTTTCAAAAGAGTACTTTATTGTGGTTGAGTGCCATAGTCCTGAGTAGCTGCAACAGTTGTGTTAGTTTGATAAGTAACCCCATATCCTTGCATTGATTGAGTGGCAGTAGGATCCGATGGTGCTGGTTGTGGTTGTAATTGTTGTTGTTGTGGTACCGACTTGTGTTCCACTGCCACTCCAGTGCTAGCAGAACTAATCTCCGAAGAACTAAGATCAGAACATGATGATGATGCTGATGCTGACGAATTATCGCTCATAGTTTCTATTTCTAAAAGATCATAAAAATATATTGAAATAACATTCAAATAAACAATATTAAGTTTCGAATAGAAAGTGAGTATTATTTATATGATGAGAAAAAATGCAACAATGCAGAAGAGTGTAAAAATGATAAGAAATATTTCGAGAAGAAAAAGAGGGCTATGTGACGGAACTAAAGTCTTGCGAACCGACCGAGTACCCGTGCGAGGCTCAATATAGAACGACATTCTTGTTCGTTTATCTTTTGTACGTCTACAAAACCATTTTTTGTTCTTAACTGCATACCAAATGAAAAAAAGAAAATTGGGAATAAAAGATTTGTTAAATCTTTCTTTGCTTATTTATGGGACGTTATTTTTAAACAAGTCGACAGAAATATGAATTTATCAACAACGATTGAATCGATAAAACAAATAAAGTTTATTGACATGAAACAATTCGGTTACTTCTTCATAACTTCTTTCTCTGTTAATATTTTCTAGATTGAATTTCGTTTTGGTTTTTAGTGAGTTAAATTGATCATTTTTACACTTCCCTGAGGGTGAGGGTGAGGGTGGGTGTGGGTGGAAATAATTATGAACGAACGACTGCAACGAGTATAACAACGATGTATGTTTACATGCAGATGGTACATTTAAGTTGTCTTCAACATGTGATTGCTAATCATGCTGAAATTATTTTGAGTCACGATACAAATCGTACGATGATTTCCTATTGGAATGGAACAGCAAGGATCATTGGTACTCAACAATTTGTGTACTCATACCTGTCTTCGCTTCATGTTGTCGTTAATGAATTTAATACTACAATCAATGGCATCTCGATCCGTACGTATGTACGATAATAATATGATGTTGCTATAGGATAGCGCAAATTATAGTGATATCAGTCGTAACAACACATAGATCATTCCTATTATTACTGGTCCGCTTGAATGGAAAACATGGTCAGAACCAACTGTATCTAATTTATCCGTTATCATTTCTCCCAAGTCTATTGAACAACTCAATATCACTAATGATGATACGATTTATTTATGGTATCGTCGTAATATCACTTTAAAAAAAGTTTCAATGTTAAAACGCATTCATGGGTACATGTAAAAGGTCTAGTTGGGTAATATTATCAGATCTACACTGAGCAAAGCTCACCCCAAAGTCAATTGGAACACTCAATCGATCACCTTATTAAATAGGATATCAAGGCAAATCCTGTCCTATTAGATGCTCTCGGTCTCTATTAGTTATCTTTAGGTGTTTGTCATGAGAACGTATCATGTTGCTGTCAACAAGAGGAAACCAAGTACAATGAACCAATACAACGCTATTACCATGTATACCATCGGATTGGTTGATGGCGAAAAATAGTTTATTAACAGTTTTTGATGATTGAGAAATTTGCATTAGTGATCAAATGAATTTCTCAAGAAGTGCTGTGAGTTTTAAAAATTGAATAAAATACGCTGCGTCCATGTTACATGCACAGTTAAAGTTCAACAGCTTTTCTTCAATCCCTTTTCAAGTTATTCTCATTGATATGTAATCAAATTATAAAACATATTTCACTAGACACACTAGTTTTTAGAAAAGCTTTGGAATACCGTATGTGTGTGTGTATGAAGGAATATATCATAGTCAGAATATACCTACACGTATCAGTATTACAAAAAGAGAAAAAAAAACAAGATAAAAAATAACAATCCTCAAAATCAACAAAGAAACGTTGTATGTGAGATTATTTGAAACTCGATAAAGATTCATGAAAGTACATAAATAATATAAATGATGGTCTCAACTGAATACATTATGAACGTGAAGATTCTTCTACTAATAGTATCTGTGTTATGCATTTTTCCAATGATTATAGCAAGCAATAGTTCACCAGCAGCTCAAACAGACCAGGGTGTTTATATTGGTCGACAAATAACAATAAACGGTTCGAATGTCAATTATTGGTATGGTATACCATATGCGCAACAGCCCACTGGTGGTCTTAGATGGATGCCACCTCAATCTCTTCCAATGTCCAACGGTACTCAATTCGCATATACTAACAATGTGTGTCCACAAGGAAGTAGCTCTGAGCCACCATTTACTGAGGCTTGTCTAGTGTTAAACGTGTACGCCCCTGAAAACGCAACAAATTTACCCGTATATGTTTACATTCATGGAGGTGGTTTCAGTGGTGGTATTGCCATAAGTTATAATGCTATACCGCTTGTTGGTACAAGTATGCGCCATGCAGTTCCTATAGTGGTCGTATCAATTAACTATCGACTCGGTTTACTTGGTTTTCTGGCAGATCAAGCACTCTATGATGAAAAATCAGGTATTAGCAATAGAAGTACTACAGGTAATTATGGAATATTAGATCAAATGATGGCACTCGATTGGATAAACAAGAATATTGATGGTTTTGGTGGTAATCCCAATGAAATCACTATTGGTGGCGAAAGTGCTGGTGGTATTTCTGTCAGTATTCTACTTACATCGCCACTAGTTCCGGATGGTACATTTCAAAGAACAATCATAGAGAGCGGTGGTCTCTGGCCCAATTTGATTAGTACATTTGAGGATGCCATCAATCATACCGGCAAAGTTTTGCGAACTGCTACAAATTGTACTACAGCACAATGTCTTCGTAATTTGACAGTGAAACAGATTCTTTCGGTTCAGACAACTATCGGGTCAAAAGATATTGTTGGAGTGGGTATCACGCCAGTTATTGACAACTATGTTTTAAATGATCTAGTGGAAAATAATTATGCGAGAGGAAACTTCAAAAAAGTGCCTATGCTAATAGGATCGACTACAAACGAGACAAGTCTATGGACATGTGGACACTTTCATGATTCGGCCACTATCGCTCAAGTTCAAGCGGTCTTTGCTTCGCTGTACAATACCACTGTTATTAATAAAATTCTTGATATCTATGGACCTATTTCAATCTATAGCAATCCATTGACTTACTTAAATCTAGTCTACAGTGATTCTTGGGCACATTGTGGATCTCGACGTATCGCTGCCAGATTCTCTGCTCACAATACATCCTCTTACTTATATACATATAGTCATTTCGTACCTGCTATACGTCCCTGTATTGGTGTACTCCATACGGCTGAACTCGCGATGATTTTTCTACAATATGTTTCTATTTTCTTTCCCAATTATAATTTAACTGCCGAAGAACAACAACTTTCCACTAATATGATGTTGTATTGGACTAATTTTATTCGAACATCCAATCCAAATTTCGATGGAAGTCCAGCAAATTGGGATGCTTATTCAATCGATGCCGATAATGATTTTGTTTTCAACATTCATTCACAAATGAGACTTCATTATTATAATGCTACTTGTTCTGGTTTATGGGATCAGTATGCAGTTACAAATAGTTCTTTGGCATAAGCGTTAAAAATCAATGTCGCCAATTCGAAACTTTTTTCTAATATCAGCCATCGATCAAATAAATTATCGGAAATCTAAATTTTGAGTCTTTGTATATTCAATTCTGTTTATTTCTGAGTCTAAGCTTCGCCGCCTGTGCTCTGAGCACATGTGTGTACTCATTCGTTCTTGTTTTCTTATAACCATGAGAAGGATGGCCTTTACAAAGGAGTTTTTTATTTCATAAGATCCTGATTTATCTTCTAAACTAGACTAAACTTCTACTTACGAAATTTCAAAGATGTGCCTTTATCAATATTGATCAAATCATCGAATGGATGTGGTGATCCACTTCAATGAACAGTATCCGAATCAGAAAAAAATGGATGACTACTGCAGAAGGACAAAAAGAACCACAAACAAAACCGAAAGTAGTTGTATCTAGAAAAAATACACAGAACGATATTTGAGAAGTGTCACTTAAATATTGTGTAGAAAATAAAACTCTGTTTTCTTTTCAATTCATATCTGATAATCAAACAGTTAGCGTTATTTCGAAATATCGAAAACATATCTCTTGATATGAACAAGGATTTATTAATTATTCGAAATAATCTCTTCAACAAACATGTTAACATCATTTACGTTTATAAAGCATTTCAATGATGTTTTTTCATTCGGTTCATTGTCAAAATGTGATAAAATACAGAATTTGAAAGAGCAGAGGTTTGAAAATGGTTTCTTTTCTTCGTCATTCAATTAGGTATAATATCTTATATACGTAACAATTGCACTCAGATATGAAATGAGCTTTCAAGCAAAACGCCCACGATAGCATAGATATACTCGATGAACTATACTTTTATCGAAGCTGTATACTTGATGATCAAAGAAAACTCTCACTATTTTATGCTTGTCTACATTCAAGATATTCATTAAAAAATACAAGCAATGTGAAAAGTAATTTGTTTTCTTTGAATACTTTACTTTTAGAAATGTTCAATAAAAGAATTAGTTTATTTTGTTTCCCATATAAATTCCACTACTGCAGTGTATACAACGCTATCATAAATTCGTTATGGGTTTTACTGGATTGGATAAACACAATAAGGAACCGTGTGTATGAGGAACTGCTTACATGGAATGCCTTGGATCTCGTATGGAGGATTTGCGAAGACGATGTCGGTATTTCACCAAGTGTGTTCAAATGATTTCGTCATGCAAAGATGGATTGATTTCATATTTGCAGCAAATGTTACATCACTTTGCGAGATAGAAACCGTTCGTGTTAGTCAATCAATGAGAATCCTGAATAATATCATCCGAGCAAATCAGTTATTAACCGCATTGGGAAACAATTATGTCCTTCGCCCGATCTATTACAACGCGATAAGTAATAAGTATCTGATGCAGATCTACACTTACGAAAATGATCAATCATGTAAACTTCCTATTAATATCTATTTATACAACATGACGGAACAATTTGGATTATATAATACGAATAGAATTCCATTCAGTGGAACTTTACCTATGGCCTGATCGTTGATTGCTTTCCACTTCAAACGACATCTGCAGCGTCACCCGAATATGCTTTTACGAGCAATCATGTGTCGATGTTCTTCTTTCATAGTATCAACAAAAGATCAATATTTCCATTTTGAACTCATCGCAACCAAGCCGGTTCAATCCAATAACAACAATCGTGTCGCCTTTCGACGAGATTTTTCTCTAACAAATATAGAATGAAAGAAACTATAAAAATTATTATTTGGCATGTTCACCTAAAACGTGTACCTATGCAGTCAATCATCGATTCGACTGTATATACGTTTTAACAGCGTCGTTTGAGCTTTGTGGTGGCATATCAGTCGCCTTACGCATTATTACTCCATACTTCATTCGTTTTGTTTTGCTTTTATACAAATTATTCTTTTCTAAAAATCGACCAGTGACACAACGACCATAAGTAGGAAGACGGAAAAAAGAGATGAAACGTTTGTAAATTGATTGAAAATATTTGTCAAGAAGATGAAGGATAAGGTTCTGAGTTTGAACGTCTATACTAAATATTCTCATGATGCAACGCGTGTGTACCCGCGGTCGTTTATCAACGCGATTATATTTTCTCTTATTAGGCATCTCAATGATTATCATTATTATCTATTCATCTCTTTTAGCCGAAACTATCACTGAACAAACTATGAATCCAACGTTAGAGGAATATTATCAACTACTAGAACAGTATCCATTAACATTCCGATGACCTTGTAGTCAACTAGCTATTCCATACGACGATTTCGTTCGGATCGAAGTTGAATACCATCAGATATGCTCGAGTGAGTTTGTTCGACCATGGTGGTACCAAAGCTTGTCGTTCGGCAGCCATCTCGATGTGGTACTTAATTTCATTGTCAGCGCTTCTTCGTACTTTCAAACATCAGCGTCATTTTGTGAATTAGCCAATGAAACAGTCAATAACGGAATTGACCGATTTCTCTCCATCACTTTCGCTAATGGTTATGTTTTATCCAATGATTCGTTCCCTATACAGATGACTTCGTCGATAAGCTCATTTACTGAACAGATGAAAAATGAGTTCATTCATCGGATGTCTTTGGCGAAACTACTACTTCATAGTAATCAATATGTGAATAATTTGGCATTCAGTGCATATTTTAGCGTCGATCAACTTTACTTGTATTCTGATCTTTATACCACAAGACTAGACACACCTCCCACATACACCATGACAGCGAGCAGCAACTTTAAGCATATTTTACAAAACATAGTTTCAATTTTCAATATGACTATATCTCGTNTATTCGAATACTGTTGAGTTGTGTGATGCATCAGAGAGAAAATGGAAAAGAGTTCCCCACATGCGGTATAAACGAATCTGGCATACAGCGACTCTTCTCAAAAGTGGTAAAGTATTAATTGTTGGCGGTGATAATGATTCCTATAGTATTACTAACGGCTGTGAGTTATACGATCCAGCGAATAATAGTTGGACAGTAACTGGTAGCATGCATCACTCACGAAGTCAACATACTGCCGAATTATTACACAATGGAAAAGTATTAGTCATAGGTGGATCCCCTATTACTGCAAATTTCAATAGTTCTGAATTGTATGATCCACTGACAGAAAAGTGGACATTGGCTGCCAGTATGAATTATCCTCGAATGTATCATGCTTCAATCGTATTGAAAAATGGAAAGGTTTTGGTTGTTGATGGATGGCAACCTGGTTATGGTAATCTCAAAACTGCTGAATTGTATGATCCATCAACCGGAATGTGGTCATTGACCGGAAACACGACACAGGAACGAATCGACCCTACAATATCTCTGCTGGAAGATGGCAAAGTGCTAGTTGCTGGTGGAGATGATGGCTCGCTTTATAGTTTCAATAGTGCTGAAGTGTACGATCCATTAACAGGCAATTGGACAACTGTGGAAAATATGAGTTATCCGCGAGGAGGCCATACACAAAATACGCTTAAAAACGGCAAAGTAATAGTTACTGGTGGATATGGTAATGGTTATGACTTCTACAGTAGCGCGGAATTGTATACATCACCGAAAGTACATTAACACAAAATTCTCTTTTTAATTAAAAACTTTATTCAAATAAAGAAAAATTTCGTGCCTTTCGACATATTACTATTCATCAATCGAGTGAAACACAAGTTTGATTGTAACAGTGCGCTTCGATGCCTTTAACTCTTCTTTGTATCGTAGTTAATTTAATTTTTAGTTCATCAACAGATTATTTTGAGTTTTAGCACATCGGTTATTGCCGCACAAGTTTGTTTACCTAGTAGATTTCGTATTAAGTTCGAACGATAATTTTCTACTACTTTACATTTTCTATCATTTGAAAAATGAATTGTGGAGCAACTATACTCGCTTAATTTTGCACATTTCTCCCCGCAGACTTTGCAAGTTGACTCAGTTTTCTGTGAATAGTTCTTTCTACAATGTTCGATATTATCTTATTGGAGTTAATGATCACTAACACTTTTCCATCAGCTAACACGGATGCAGTGTGCTCCCAACGTGTCATTTGCATATTAGTCGTAGTAAACCAACCTATGATCTAAGAAATTGACCGATTTCAATCACTTTCATACTTCTCGTGATGAACAAGTATGAGTAACATTATCACATGGTTCTATGGTTGAACATTGAGTTCCTAGTGTGCAGAAACTTCCATTATTCGATGCACGGTAATAAAAACAAGGCATGGGATCCAATCGACACGTACCATTATTTGATGAATATGGATTACATTGTTGTAGCAAACAGCTTCATAACTGATCTCAACCTATAGAATGTGCTGATGACATAGATCAGAAAAATTCTACCAACATATAATTTCAATTACAAAGATAGAAATCTTAAAGAGATACTCAACTAACATGTTGTATATAAATAAAAAAGAACGAGAAATGTGAGTTTTGTGATCCACTTCTAAACTGAATAATACATAGAGAAGTGACAAAACTGAGTATTTTGATTTCATATGACTATGGAAAGCAATATTCTGATTTATTTTGTCACTGTCATTTTGGTCGATGAAATTATTTGAACAACAAAAAGAAGATCATGAGAAGACTTGTTTACATGATGATTGTCGACCATGACTCATTAATGGCCACACTACGAATTCCTATTCAAACTGCGTCTCCTCTAAAATGGTACGTTTTTGCTCACACACTGTTTTTCTTCCTTCTACAGAGAAATGATGCCAAATCTTTCCAACATATTCAGCACTTGTTCTGCAGTAAACATACTTTTTGCAATCATGTTTTTTTCGTCCTTCCCATGGGATGCATCGAATTCTATGGAGTTTTCTTTCAAATAAAAACAACAGCATTTAACGACGGTTACAAAAACGAAGAAACGACAAAGTTACCAACTGAATTACTCTTTTGGTCTCGTAAACAGTTACATCGTCAAATAATTTTATCGATCTATTACAAAAGATGCAAAATATCGCCGTGATCTGGCTGGACACCTTCATTAATCGCAACAACGCAGATTGTCAATACACAATTAACCGACTTGAGTGTATTACTAGTGATATCGATACATTTACGGACAATGATGAATGTGTCGAATTTATACTGAGTAACAACCACAATAACATATATGTAATTACTTCTGGCTCGCTAGGAAAACGTCTCGTGCCTTGTATTCATGATATTGCTCAATTACATTCTATTTTCATCTTTTGCGAAGATAAATCATACCATGAACAATGGACAAAAGGTTGGGCCAAGGTAAAAGGTGTTTTCATTGACATTGCGTCACTGTGCAAAGGCATTGAGGATGTATTTCGTCGCAATGAACAGAATACCATACCAATGAGTTTTGTCCCATCCGGAAGAAAGCCAGATCAGCTCGATCCCTCTTTTATGTACACACAACTGCTCAAAGAGATCTTACTAACAATCGATTTCCAAGATGAACACATTAGACAATTTATTAAACGCCATTTTACTTTATTCGCCATCGATGGTAAACAAGTCCATGACGTTGAGCAATTAGTGCATGACTATCACACAAAAAAACCTATCTGGTGGTATACAAGAGGCAATGATTTGCATTTCATGCTCAATAAGGCACTACGAGTGATGGATGGCGACGTTCTTGTGCAGATGGGATTCTTCATTACTGATCTTCATCGAAACATTGAAAAATTGCACAAAGAACAAATTATTGACATATCTTTTTCTAGCACCTTTACGGTTTACCGTGGGCAAGGTTTACCCAAAGCAGAGTTTGAAGAACTAAGAAAGGCGAAAGGTGGACTGATGTCATTTAACAACTTCTTATCCACTAGCACGAAACGTGACGTTTGTTTGTCCTATGCAGAGAGTAACGCGGACAATGCTGATTTTGTGGCAGTTGTGTTCAATATACAGGTTGATCCAACTCAATCAACAACACCGTTTGCCTTCATTGGAAGTCTTGGTCAGTTTTTACATGAAAATGAAGTGCTATTTTCCATGCACACCGTATTTCGAATTCAATACATCCAATCGATTGGCACCGCTCGACTACTATACGAAGTGAATATGTCACTAACTAGCGACTCTGACGAAGAACTAGATGTGCTTACTAATCATATTCAACGAGAGAAATCTTTCCACGAGCAAGGCTGGATTGGATTAGGTCAGCTACTAATTGAATTGGGCCAAAACGACGAAGCTGAAGAGATCTTTAATACATTACTGAATAACAGGCCAAGTGATAAGGAAGTTTCAGCGATTTATCATGCACTTGGTGTGATTCAATTCAACCGGGGAGCATTTGACGAAGGAAGAGAGTTTTTTAGAAAAGCGCTTGTCCTTCTTGAAAACTCCCTCCCTGCAAATCACTCCACCATAGCCGTATCCTACAACAACATCGGTTCGGTGTATGATAATATGGGTGATTATCCAAAAGCACTCGAACAGTATGGAAAAGCTCTTTCAATTCAACAAGAATCTCTTCCTGCAAATCATCCTGGCTTAGCCGTATCCTACAACAACATCGGTTCGGTGTATCATAATATGGGTGATTATCCAAAAGCACTCGAACAGTATGGAAAAGCTCTTTCAATTGAACAAGAATCTCTTCCTGCAAATCACCCTGACTTAGCCACATCCTACAACAACATCGGCTTCGTGTATCATAATATGGGTGATTATCCAAAAGCACTCGAACAGTATGGAAAAGCTCTTTCAATTCGACAACAATCTCTTCCTGCAAATCACCCTGACTTAGCCACATCCTACAACAACACCGGCTTCGTGTATGATAATATGGGTGATTATCCAAAAGCACTCGAACAGTATGGAAAAGCTCTTTCAATTGAACAACAATCTCTTCCTGCAAATCACCCCACTATAGCCACATCCTACAACAACATCGGCTCGGTGTATGATAATATGGGTGATTATCCAATGGCTCACTCATATTATGAGCGTAGTATAGAAATTGCAAAACAGTCACTACTCCAAGATCATCCTCATCTTCTAACGTTCAAGAAAAACCTGGAATATTTGAAAGAGAAAGTGTAACGGCTGTCTCTGTGTATAAGAAAAATAAAGTCATTTGTGATATGAAAGCTTTTAGTGTAATCCCTTTCGGTATTAAGAATGTGAAACGCGGTCGACCTGTTACAATCATGATAATATATTTAGGTTCAGAATTTGAACTTCAAATTTTTCCACATTTGTTTAATTTCATAGTTGTAAAAGTTGCGTTAGCGTTTAGGCAATGATCTCCCTGAATATTAAAGACAAACGATATCTCCATTATGTTTATTGCTCTGTCACAGCAAACAGCGCCGTTTTCATGTTGTTAAAATGTATAACGGGTGATTCAGTCTGTTTATAACATTTCTAATGTATTTGCGGTCTGTCTGTAACGTCTGTCGGCCCAAATTTCTACCCCTACACGCCTGAACACTCTTTCGGATCGCGTTACACGAAAATTGCATGCCGAGACAGAAGCATGTAAAGCCATCATTTTCATCTTTTGAGGAATCAGTTCTATGCATACAAACTACTTTTCATTAAACTTTGAGTACTAGAAGCCAATTGATATGTGTGAAATTCTATTTTATTAATCAGGACAAAGACCGAAGTGGAATATAAACGAACGGAAACTGCTTTAGTATTTTCTCTACGTTGAAATAAGGTCCTGGTTTACAACGTTCATATAGTATTATTATTATTTTCAATGATCGTCTACAAACTTTTCTTACCATTTCTTTTGTCAGAAGTAATTCTATTGAATCTACAATCATATGCCGTAGTATGTACGTCGCATATTTTGCACAGCAAAGCTCATTCTATGTTCTTGCTGTTCTCAAATGCAAGAAACAGTTAATATCGTCGGAACAGTGTAGAATGTGTTGTTCACTAGAAACTAAATTTCATTCCTGGTTTTCTGCTAAGCTCTTGTCGTCGGAAAAACGTGTGTGACAAATTCGTCAGATATTCATATTCAAAAATTCTTTCTTAAGTTAGAATCCGACGTCAAATGAGTTCTATATTTCTGGGTAATTTCCCATTTGGATTTTGGAAACACAATTGATTGTAGATATCTTATGGCAGTGGGTACCAGCATTGTCTCATCAGTAGATTATCGACGGAAGATTGCACTTATACAAATGGAAAACCTTTACGAAAAACAAAAAACGGCTCAAAATAAATGACTTCTTTGCCAAAAAGTGTTCGATTTCAAATTCATGGCAATGAACCTAAATTAAATTTGAAATACAGGGAAATGAGACATGCTCGGATTGATTTTGAGTGCTTCATAAAGTAAAGAAGGTAGCGTTTATTTTATTTTGCTGGTTATGAAATTCAGTGGAAGATAAAACAGAAGATATTCTTCTCTCTTGTAAATTCTTCTGGTCAGCAATACACATTATTTAGTTCTAGTCGAAAATTGTGACGATTAGGGGTGTCAGCATTCTCCGTTCCCAAGCGTTCCATTCCTGGGAACGGAACGCATTTTAAACTGTATTATATGAGATTTTTTCGAACGTAATTAAGTTGCTGATATACAATTATTCACATATTAAGAGACG